TTATCTTCATGCTAATCAAATAGGTCCCTTTCGACTGATCGGTGACAATAGCAGACGTTGTAGTTCTTGGCTAATTTCATCCATTCCTTATCAGTACTCCCGTATTTTACTGTTTCGGTCAGGTGTGAAAAAGTTATAATGGATGGTAGTTCATCTTCAACTTTCATTGCAGTTCATCTTAGTTTATCTTCATTTTTGTGTTTCATCTTTGTTCGGCCATACATTCCTCAAAATGTTTTGGTTGTCGCACAGAATCCATTATATATCCCATGCCACAACACAATGTGATAAAGAAAGAATGATAGGTTTTGTCGTGCAAGTGGAGAGCTAACAATGATCGGTTTACTTCTCGGTCAACGCATAAGGTATATTTTTAAGTTTTTGAATGCCGAATTACATTTTAAGTTTGTGAGACTTTTGTTACACCTAACGCCTAACTAGTTTTCCACGTTCTCAAACTGCTGTGTGCGGATCCTTCTTCACTTAACACCTTCAAGTGATTATCAGTTAATAATAACGTGTTGTCTTCTATCGTTTCATATCTCTTAGTTCCAATACCGATGACCGATTATTCAACTAATTAAGCGACACGGCTTATTCTCACTTCGAATAACTTATATTACCACGTTGAGTTATTTTATAAATTCATGTCTATTTTCAATATTACTATTTTCTACTATTGCATTCTAATTCGCGTATGTAATGCAGTGGTTAGAGATGATTTGGAATAAACGTGTGATCATGGATCAATTCTGTTCCATAAGCTAAAAGAAGTCTTAGATCGTTCCCGAGTTGCTAAATTGCTACTAGGCTAGTCTTGACGAAAGAAAAACCGACTCATGGGGTGGTCATTACAATACCTATGACATGGTCGTACAAGTGATTGTATTCTCGGTCATATTCACGGTAGCTCAGCATTTAGCACAATGCCTTGCAGTTGGTAATGAGCAAAAAGTAAAAGGTTGTTTTCGAAGTTCACCAATCCTTGATGCATGCATCATGCATGAGTCATGAATTCACTCCACCGAGCATCCAATATGTGACTGAATTCTCACCTAGCCTATACAACAACTTGCAGCGGGCTAATGATGTATTAAGATTGTATTTTTCTGGTGCCATTTCGCTAATTTAGAAGGGAAGAATAGAAGAGTTGGCTTACCCAAACGGAGCATCTAACGTGCGACAATTCGTTTGTTGCGTCCTACCTTTAATCGGTAGAAAATAGAACAACACCAGGCATAGACAGGATAAGATATGGACACCTGTAGAACCTTCCGCAAGCCCTAATAAACACATTGCTTGGGTTCTTCAAACGTTAGAAAGGATCCTATTCAGTGGAAGACCAGCAAAAACGTGCTATCGTTCAAGAGGGTGACCTTCACGACGTCGGCAACTGTCGCTCAATCTGCTTACAGTTTTCGTCTGTAAACTTTTCACTCAGGTCATCCTAAATAGGACTGACAAAGCACTGGGCGAAGAACAACCATGTGCGCAAACAAGGAAGGATTTTGAAAAAAATTTAGTACAATAGACTAAATCGACATGAAAAGGAAGGTCTTAGAAGTATCGCGAGAGTACAAGAGTCCTCTCTGCCTCACTTCCATCGACTTAAGGAAGGCCTTTCACTTAGTTGAGATAGAAGCAGTCATAGAAGTTTTGGACCACCAGGGATGGTCTACTCAGTACATAAAGATTCTTCGTGAGCTGTACAAAAATTTTACAACCAAGATATCACCATTTTGTAGAATATTAAAAAAGCGATATTAACATTGACGTTAAAAGAGGGGTTAGGCAAGGCGACACCAGCTCGCCAAAATTATTCATCGCCACCCTCGAGAACGTCGTGCAAACACTGGAATGGGACGATTTAGGACTAGAAATAGACGTTCGGCAATTACGTCATCTTCGCTTTGCTGATGACATCGTTGCCATAACTCTAAGCATTATCCAAGCGGAACGTATGCTTACCGACTTTGATAAAGCCTGTGGAAAGATTAGTTTTCGACTAGATCTCGCAAAAACGATGCTTATGAGGAACGAATTGCTTACGTATGCCCCATCCAAGCTGAACGAAATGAATATCTCTGAATGCTCCAGTTACATCTATCTAGGTCGAGAAATGAACGTGATGAACGATTTAGCTCCAGAGTTGAGCAGGAAATGAGCAGCTCGGGTAGTGTTTTAGAGCATCAAGGGCAAAGAATGCCCGACTCCGTGCCCACATTTTCGATTGCACGATTCTTTCTGGCTTAAAGTAGGCATTAGAAACCTGGTCGCTACGATGAAAGATCACTCGACGTTATTAAAGGCGCAGTCGCTAGGGCGATGCTAGGAGTGTCGCATTACAGGTTCTATAAGCCAGACTGTCTAAAATAAGGTGGGCGAACACTTATTGCGTATGAACGACAACCGATTAGCAGAAGCTGTTAGCGACTGGATTCCTCGGGATGTTATACCTGCTGCAGGAAGGCAACCGACCCAATGCTTAGAGTTCTCGAAAATCCTAAAAGAAGAATGAGTTCCTGGACCGAGCAAAACCCACTGAGCTGGTGGGACGGAAAAATAGAGGATTTACTGACGCCCAATCGATTCACTCGAAGATTAACCTGAAGTTAGGGGGCACGGTATCTCATACTTGATCGTAGGAGGTGCGAGTCTCATATTGTGATCTGCAAAAGATAATTGCAGCTGCGAGCACAGCTGTTTTACTTCAGTTACGAACACGTTCGTCCAGCGTGCAGGTGGTTCTTCAAGAGGAGCCTGCATCCTTGTGGAGTCCTTCTACAGTTTCTTCGCCCATCTGTCATCTGTTTTTTTCATTATATGGCTGACTTATCTATGTTTCGCTTTTGAGCGGGGCTTCGCATTCCGGGTAGATGCTGAGAGTGCCGTCTATATTTCAGAGGACATCATTCAAGCCCTTTGTGAGTAATGAGCGGTATTTTTTATTTCATTCAAGCAACAGTTAACCTCTTTACTGCATGATAGAGCGTCGCGAAGACTGATGAGTTGAAAAAGGTAGCACGGAGTTTTAGGTAGGTTAGCTGGTCGGTTGCTTTTTTGAGTGGCCTGAATGTGGCCCGTACTGCTCCTACCTTCTGTCTGATTTCTCTTTCGTGCTGTTCTCGACGTTCACTCAACGCCGAATAATGTGCACACACGAGGACGCTTTTTTAATCAAGAAGCGGTCCTGTGCGATTTTTTTCGCCTTTTGCATCATAGGTTTTTAATGAGCTGAGTCTTCATCCTATTAATGTGCATCCCAACCTTTTTCTCCCATTCGTTGAGTTCATTGATCACCGTGCCCGTTTCACAGGTACTCCTCTAAAACATGACGATATTACCCGCAAAACTAATATTTGACAGGAAATTTCCTGTCACGAGAGAAGTTTAAATTTTAATGTTTTTATTTGGATCAATACTGTTTATTCCAAGCTGAGAAATGCCACTTGCAAGTTAATACCTTGTATTAATTCTTGAACAATGGAACACGGTTGTTTGGGTATATTGCTGCCTTTCTTAAATGAGCCGGAGGCATATATTGTCAAACACTTCCACCATTCCATTAATTCTCTGGCATCCATAAACCGCTGAGTTCTTCGAGATTGTCTGCGTTCGGCTATCACTTGCAGATTTTGAACTGTTTTAATAATCTTACCCTTTTATTTGCTGCCTACTTTAATTTTCCACGGCAGGGCATCATGTGAATTACAACATGATGATGCGGAGATATTTGCAAAACTCCAGACCTCAGGTGTCCGCGGCGGGGAACCAACGTGCTGTTACCCTTTCCGGGGGCTAATGTGTCCACCACCACACCATGCGAGTCCTTCGTTTCGTCCGTCTTTCAGCTATTTCTATCGATCTCTGCCATACGTTTCCTATTGATCACTGCACGTTCGTTCCCCACCGCAGACACCTGCGTTCCGGTGTTTTGCAAATATCTCCGCATCATATTGGTTGTATTTCACACGATACCCTGTCATGAAAAATTACAGTAGGCAGTAAAGAAAAAGGTTAAAATTATGATTTCGACCTAAGTCTCAGCTTAACTGGCTTCATTACCGATTTGGACTCTCCAGATCAATTTCGTTGACGGGTGATTGCTAATGGCACTCATCGATAGAAGTAGCTGAGAGACAGGCGAAACGAAGAACCCGCATGGTGTGGCCGTGAGCGCGTTAGACCCCGGAAAGGTTAATAGCACGTTCGTTCCCCACAGCAGGTACCTGCGGCCTGGAGTTTTTCAATGCTTCAACATCATCTTGGCTGTTTTAATAATGTCGTTGAAAGGTAGTCGAGACGGCTTTCCTTGGAATTCTGAACCGTTCAGTGGCGTTCTTAAATCTTCATCACAGTCAGTCGCCATCTTTTAGTGAGTGGCAGAGGCGTATTGATCTCAGATGACAGATGATTCGGATCTTAGATAGTGTGATGTCGAGACCTCGAGGAGATGTGAGGCTTGGCAGTCTCGGATCAATATTCAAGGCTTGGGGCATATTGAAAGGCAACACCGTGCTCTACTCGAGCTCTTTGTTCCATACTTGAGCACCTGGATGGCTTCTCCTCACTGGTTGTGCAGGCCTCAGCATAGCCTTCATGTTTTCAGAGCTTTGCTGGTTTATACATCGTGGTTTCCTGGTGTCCCAAGGTCAGCCAGGCCAAAATCTGTCCTAGCCTCGGTGGCACTTCGCAGCCCGACACCTAGGAGCACCCCCAAACCACGATGAGGAGGTAAACCGTGGAGGTTTTCTTTGCCATTTTGTCTACCATTGCTGAAGCCATTTTGGAATAATGTATATATCTAACATATTGCGTTTTCGCCATGCGTCATTTTTACAAAGTGCTACCTATGCCACCAAAGCCTACGTTTTTATACTCTTGAAATCCTTTGTAGTGGGTAAAGCGTACCGCGTATCATGTACTTTTTAAGCTCTCTGTTCTGCACATCATGTACTTTTTAGGCTCTCTGTTCTGAAAATGTGAGTGAATTTTAGGTGATGGCCAGAAAGGAACTGAACAGACTAGGAGTGCTTGGCGCTACCAGTTACGTGGTAGGATCAGTGATCGGTTCGGGGATTTTCGTATCACCCAAAGGAATACTTCAGAATGCCGGCTCAGTGGGATTGTCACTTATCATATGGGTCCTGGCAGCTCTGCTGGCTAGTTTGACAGCGATCGTAAGTGTGCTGAACTTACGTAAACTATTCCCATAAGCTATATCCAGACAACACAAAAGACTAGACTAGAGACTCTTTAGACTATTAGACTGCTTTAAAATTTTGTCTAGTTATTATTATTATTTTCCAAAGAAATATCCCACGCGTATAGATGCTTGGAATGCCCTTGTAACAAACAGGAAAAATGGAAATTTTTTTTGAAACTCTCGGGCTACGGCTTGTACTTTGATACGTTTAAGAGCTATGTTCTTTAGCTTCCAAAATCAAGTACGATAGAGTCGTCACACCGGTCGTACCTACGAAGTCCTCCATACTACTCCGTTGGTGAAGAACTATAAAACACAGAGTCTATACACGAAAGGGCCATAGACTAAAGAACCTGTTGGCAGCCATAATCGGCACGCTTGCTAGACTCTTTACAAGTTAGAATACTAATGGAAGGCAAAGAACACTGTGTTGTAAAACAAAGAATACCTTCATCAAAACTATTGTCCAGCGGGATTTCAGTAAGGATTCATTAGTAAATAGGTCCGCTAAATCCACACGATAAATTTGACCTCCTAAAGTTTCTAAAGTTATAAAATCAAAGAGACCTCTTCTCGCACTCGCTTCTGCCGACATAAAAAAGCTTTCCGCCTTGCTTACCTTTATTTGCTACCAATTCTGTTTTATGGTGAAGTATTATGTGAAATAAAACCACAGCAATAACGAGATATGGCCAAAACCAGGAACTTCGAAAACTTCTAAAGAGAGAGACAGAAGCTGTCTTATGGAAGCTTCGTAGATACGTCCTTATTCAGAATGTAAAGTCCCTCGTGAACTACGTAACAACGTTGGAACTAAAATATCACCATTCAACAGCAGCCTTAACGTTGACCTAAAAAGAACGGGTTCGGTGAAATGCTGAAATCTCTTCAAAATTATTTACGTCCACCCTCGAAATTATCGACGGAAGGTTTCTTATTTGAATCCAAAAAACAAGATAATTTTATTTTGTCTACCGCAAAGCTAATAAATGAAACTCTCGGCATTGATCAATCCCTGAGTGATGCGCCATGTATTCGACTTCATTAGGCATCGTTTCGAGGTGGTTAAATGCATGTCTGGCCTTTACAATGACTCGCGGTAGCGAACCGATGTATCGAGCCAGTGCTGCTATTCTCCCAGACAAGTCTGGTACCAATCTGCTGACCCCGGAGAGATGGAAGGCTTGGTGGGCCATGGGCGCGGGGATCAATTCCACGCGTGTGTTGCAGGGCGCCTCCAACCACTGCGCCACACGCGCCCTTTGTCAACCGTATGTCTGATTTTATCACTTTTCCATAAGCTGCAATAAAAAGCAAGAGTATCGCAATGGTAATAATGTTGATCACCACGAGTACGTTAATGGCTCGGTTACGCTCCAAATCTACCAAACCTATCATTTTTCATGGACAGGAAGTTCATAGCACGCTTGCCTAAGAAATGTTCACTCGTCTACCCAAGTAGGAACGCACTAGCCTTGCGACGCCAGGACTCAACGGAGAATCTACTCGACCGATACTCAACGACATTCATGAACAAAGGAAATTCCTCATGTAGCAGTCGAACCCAAATGCAGAAAGTTGGAAGACCTTCGTAGATGATAGATTCGAGGAAACGAATCGAATGCAAGAAGTCCTTACGCAGAGTATATGTGAAAGACGGGTCGTACAAAAAAAAATAGATAGTAGGTGACAACAACATGACCTTTTTAATAAGATTGACTTGTTGAGTTAAGCATTGAGAGAGAAAGCCACCATAGGCTATGCCTGAAGAGGCTTTGCTGCAGCCCACAGTCATCAATATAGCTCCATTTTTGTACACCTCGTCGAAGTCCATTGTCCTTGCTGTGAAATAGAGTACCTGATCACATAAATCGTATATTTCTATGGTTCTAACATCGGCCATCGCAGCCCTACGTAGATAACACGAGGTCCGGACGTGCAGTACTCATTTTCGAATCGTTGCTGCATGCCGACGGAGCTCTTCCTAAAGATAGACTCCGTCGATAGTATAAATAGACATATTCAGTACTCTACAGATTGTTAAGGCAGAGAAAAATCCTAGATCTAAACGGGTACTTTTTCTGGCCTCAGTAATGTAATAGTCCTATAGCCGGTGACCTAGTACCTGATACCATCGTCTTGTCGCCAAAAGCCTTGCCAATTTCGGTACCCTCACTGTGAGCTGTTTTGCTTCGACACATCTTTGGTTGACATGCTTACCATATAATTGTTTGTTTCGTCCCAATAACATTTACCCACACTAAGAAGACAAGGAAGAAGACAGGAAGACATGCTCCGATGATTCGTTGACGATTGACATTGGAGAGAATAGCGTGCTTAATCGGGATATTAGGTAGCGAAACGATATAGGCAAGTAACGAGTTGAAGTGAAGCACTGATGGTGTTGAAATGTTGGGTATTAATTTATAAATTTACTTATTTGCCATTGAATGCGAAACCACGAATTCTTCTTTTCGTGTCAGAATGGATTTATTTGTGAATGCAGGTTAGGGATGAACAGATTTTCCATGAACAGGCTATTACTCATGACCAGAACTTTGCGAAAATTGTTCACCACGACGAGGAAGTCTTACGAGCACCGTGTTGTATTAATAACAATAATTTGTATTTAGAGGCAAATTCTTTCATTCAGAACTACATTGAATTGGGTACGAGTATTCCGGAATCGGGAGCCGAGTTTGCCTACATTCGTTTCGTTGGATGGACTCCAATAGCATTTTCATACCTTTGGTTAGCAAGTCTCATACAAAGGTGATTATTTATAGTGAACGCTTTTCAGTGGCATTTTAGCAGATCTGCAGTTTCAGTCCTTGTGCTGGAGCGACATTGGCTCTAACGCTTGGTGAATATATTGTTCAATCGATCGCGCCGATTACATGCCTCAATTCTCATGACAGTAGGATTGCTGTCACTTTCTTGGCTCATAGTATTTTATGTGAGTTTTTAATTTAGCACACCGTACCAGTCTGGAGGGTAAATTACTCAACAGATGTTATTGTTTATTAAGATTGTTTATTGGAGATTCTGTGATTAGCACTTTTTTGTACCTGAATAAGGGGCGCGTGTGGCGCAATGCTCGGAGACGCCCTGCAACACACGTGGAATCGATCACCGCGCCCATGTTCCGCCAAGCCCTCCATCCTTCCGGGGTCGGCAAATTCGTACCAGACTTGCCTGGGAGGATAGCAGCACTGGTTCGATAATCGATAGGCCACCGTGAGTTTTTCTAAAGGCCAGATGTGCATCCAATCACTTCCAAACGACGTTTAACGAAGTCGAATGCATGGCGCATCGCTCAGTGATTGATCACCGCCGAGAGCCTTTTTTGCCTTTATTAGAATAAAACAACTTATGTTACCAAGGAGGATATGGGCTACCCGTTTGAATAACACTCATTGTTGGAGGGTAAACCAGACACTAGCTTGGCATTTCCTCACCTCAGTGATCTTGAGGAAGAAAACTATGTGGGCGGTTCCTTCGAACCACTGTATTCGTCTTCATATTTGTGCACACATGCCAGTCGGTTGGGTCAGAACATCGCTTTCTTTTATGTTGTTGTTGACGATAATGGAAAGGAACGTTGAATTATGAGCTCCTGCTAACCTGTACCACCGTAATGATCACTGTCTACGAAACTTCAAGATCAGAAGTTGACAGAATTACTTCAGAAAACGGAATCTTAACAGAACAAATTTTTCACGTGTAAACAAACTACTGTTCACAACGCGAATGTAGCTCATCAAGCGATCTAAAAACCTCGCTGAAAATCCTACACTAGCAGTAATGCTTTCCAAAGTTTCTTCTCTTCGACTAGGAATTTTCTGAGATAACGCGAGCCACAATGCCTTCGACAATACTTAAATACAATGTTGACCATCTCTTTCGGGATCCACAATTCTGAGGAAGGGGAAGCCACACATTTGTTGGAAGGTGTGGTATACTAAAGTGGTGGTGGTGGTACTCTAGAATAAAAACTGCTTCATTAAACGCATGAAACACCAGATGTGTTCCAAGGCTCTGTTTTTTCTAGAACAACGTATTGTTCCAAAAGTGAGACCTTTTTACGTTTTTCACTTTATCCGCGACTACAGATCACTGTTTTAACCACGTTTTGTGGAAATTACTGAAAAAAGAGAAGGAATAAAAGATAAAGCTCTAGGCTTTGATCAAACCCTATGGGATGCGCCGTGATTCGACTTTATTAGACATCGTTAGAGGAGATTGAATGCGTATTTGGCCTACATAATGATTAACGGTGGTCTATCGATGTAGTGAGCTAGTACTTCAACCCTCCCAGACAAGTCTGGTACCGATTTCCGACCCCAAAGAGATGAAAGGCTTGGTGAGCCTTGCGCACAGGATCGAACACATGTGTATTGGAGAATGTTTCTAGCCACTGCGCTACGCCTTCTCTTACTCCAAAAGAGTATTTAAATATGAATTTCTAGGTCTAACAAGTGACTGAAAAATCGAGTAAAACTTAAAGAATATCGTCATTGTCTTGGCGTCTAAAGTAGAGAATGCATCGATACTGCTAGTCGATAATGTGTGGGCAGTAGATTTCAAAACGCTGTGTTCCATAAATAAGCCAAGTCAAGTAAACTACACAAAGGAATTTTCCAAGGTAAAACAACCTATGAGGGAATAGTCTAGTATATTGTGATTTCAACTACAGCCGCAGCTTAACTGGGTTCTATGCCGATTTGGGCGCCCCAGATCAATCCCGCTGACGGGTGATTGGTGTGGCAAAGATCGATAGAAATAGCTGAGAGACAGGCGAAACAAAGGACCCGCATGGTGTGGTGGTGAACGCGTTACTCCCCGGAAAGGACAAAAGCGCGTTCGTTCCCCACCATAGACACCTGCGGTCCAGAGTTTTGCAAATATCTCAGCAACGTTGTGGTTGTATTTCGCTTAGTAACCTGCCGCGAAGATTATAGTAGGCAGAAAATAAAAAGGCATAACAGTCTAGTATATTGTTCAAACACGAGGCGGGAGTGCAACAAAGAGGAGGTTCACCTGTCCTCAATTAACTACATCTGGGCGTTACTTTTTTTTAGAGAAGCTATTTATTCTCTGACGTTATTCTCTGGTAGGAAAAGTTTCAGAGAGCTTGCAAAATGCGTTCATAGCCTAATGATGCATGACAACGGTTTTTCTTAGAAAAGTGTTATCTTCCTTAATATTCCTTATTATTTGGGCAAAGATATTCTAACATTATTCTTCATATTCAATTATTCACTAACAGATCCCTTTGAAGAATCGTCAACAGTATGTAGACGTAAAGTATTTTTTATTTCACTAGGAAATTTGGTTACGGACGACCTGCGGTAGGGTGTTTTGTTGTAGAGGGTAAAATTGGTGCAAAAACAGTAGATGTGATGGGTGAGGAAGCTCTATGGCATAAGTGGTCCGACTTTTGTGGCATTAGTTATGCGATGTTTTGTTAGAGAGTGGAGCGTTACAGAAGTGTTTGATACATACCTGTTGAGTTGATTCCAGTCACTGCTGCTTCTCGTTAATTTTCTAGCAATGTTTCTGCGTTTTATGGTTGGCCACGAATAGTGTTTCTAAATGGGAACTGCCAAGAAGTTAGCATTACGGATTCAGCGTAAATTCCGATTTGTGAAGAGCTTCATATGGATCTAATCACTCTAGTGTACGTCGTTGACTACTGTGAATGACCCAATTTTTATCACACACCGCGTTACAGTTAAAAAATTACTCGTTGTCATCACGTAAAAGAATGCAAAGAAGAAATAGTGTGGTGTTTTGCTTGTCCAACATCTCCATCTTTCCGATGTTTTCCAAACAACGAACAAATCTTGAAAGTTAAAGAATCGTTCTTCTACGATCGCTCCAATAGTTTTAGAGGGTCACCTTTGGCCTCAAGTGGTCATAAACTATTGGTGGTTGCTAAATTTCTCTTGGTATGGTGCATACAACTGGTTTTTTTAAATCTTCATTGTACGACTTGTCTTCATATATGCTGCATGGATCCCAGCACTTTTCACAACTGATTAGTTTCCTCGCATCCACGAATCTCTTCCAACTTTTACGTGTGGCCTCGGTTACTGCTTGAGGACTTTCATTTCATCTTGAATGCCGTAGAATGCTGGACGATTCAATTCACCCTTGATTCATCTTCAGGTGGCGTGGCTGGCGAGTCTCCAATTAAGCTGTATACCGTGACTTTCTTCCGGACAAGTCCAAAACCAATTTCCAGCGCTGGCGGGAGAAGAGGCTTGGTGAGCCTGGGACGGAATCGAGCCAACACCGTGCTCATGATGATCGATATCACTGCCGCTGTGACATACGTCCTTTGTAAACAGCATTACAAGTAACAGAATTGCAAAATGCATTTATGAAGTTTATGAAACAAAATCGATTGCTATTTTTGAACTAGCTAAACGAAACGCGTAGCTTTTGTCTACCGCAAATTATTTTTTCTCAGCAAGGTATTATGTGAAGTACAACTACTTAGGCCAGGTTGAACCGCGACTACCTTTTCCGGGACTCACGTGGAGGGCCTCGGCGTAACTGGATTTAATGAAAATTTGTGCTCCCTAGGTATTATTCCCGTTGACAGGTGATTGCTAATTGCACCGTTAGAGTAAAAAGACTGGCTGAAAGAAAAACAGAACGAAGGCGTCAGTGTGTCGTGAGTAACACGTGGGCACCGGGAAGTGGGAATTCCCCCGTATCGCCCCTGTTGGTCGGCATGGGGTTGGCATCAGTTGTTGTTGTTCTAATGATTCGGCCGCTGATGTTTCGATGACTTCGCCTTTAGAACCTGGACGTGTTTTACTTAACACTATCCGTCTAACACTATGTCACACTATTCAAGCAGTATTTATCCAAGAAGCTAAGCACAGTAAAAGAAACGATCCTCATTATGCCTATCAGAAAACGGCTACATTACGAAGTGGTATCGAAAGCCAAGTAGTAAAACATCCTAGTTCATTACCTCTCCTCTCATCCCTCTCACACGAAAAGGGCGCTTGTGAGAAACATGTATCAAACAGCTATCAGCGTGTGCACAGGCAGGCAACAGAGAGAGGAGTTCCTGAACTTGGCGCGGCAAATAGCCATTTTTAATGGCTACGAAACCGCAGCTCGAGATAGGTGTAGAGAAAACCACAGGTACCCCAACGATAACTCTAGCGACAGCAAGGTCCCGTTTATACTGCCCTTCATTTCAAATGAAGTAAGTGCAGCTATAAAACCCTGTTTAAGAAGGGCCAGTCTAGACAATTCGGTAACGATAATCGAAATACCACCGGGTAACCTAAGACGCCAGCTAGTTCGTAACTGCCTGTATGACCGTCTATGTGCAAAGCAAAACTGCATAATTTGTTCCAATGGTGGAGACGGTGACTGCATGAGTTCGGGTACAGTCTATCTGATCTCTTGTAAAGCGTGCGGGGACGAATACGTTGGCTAAACAGGTAGACCACTCTGCGTACGTATAAAAGAACACCTAGTCGGCAAACGTAAGCCAAGTACTCCACTAGGTACGCATAGCACGCAGAAACAACAAAGTAGATTTTGAAGTAAGGGTTACGATCCTCGCGCAAGAATCAAGAACACAAGCGCGAAAACTCTAGAGGCATTCTGGATTAATTCCAAGAATCCGAAAATGAACCGCAGGGAGGAATGCCTCGTTATCACGCGCGATATTGGACAGTATATAAACCTGTTATTCTGATGGGAGGAGCACATTACGCTTCCATGTGAATTTGGTGCGGTCGGTCTTCACGCGACATACTCAGTGGAAAACTCATAGAAAGCGGTGAGTGTGCAGAGCTATGCTAAATGTGATTGAAACCGTGGTTTAGCGTTTTCTCTGTTTGGTTATGGAGGTATTTGGCCGAATGGATTGCTGTCAACTTGACCCTTCCAAGCTCTGAGGAAGGCGAAATCCGCCGAAACGTCAGCTTGTGCGTAAATAAAGAAATAAAATAGCATCTCGTGCTTGCTGAACAGAAGTAGAAAGACCCTCATTATCTCCACTCCGAAAGAGCCCCTGATTCGGCGAGACTGGGCAGGACGAGCACGGAGAGGCTGCTAAAATCTCAGAGCCATTCTTAGCTGCATGAATCGCAACGAACTAAGGTGGTGATCTGCACCTACAATGCACGCACACTTGCATCCCAGTCCTCGATAGAAAAATTGATCATGCAAGCCTGGCCGATGAAGAGACGACGCCACCCATTCAACGCCGTCTATGGCATCGGAGAAGAACTGTTCCTCTGAACATGCGACAGTAGAGGAGTTGGCTACGTCGGTGTTCTTGTCAACACGAGTTTGGCCATGAACATCGATTCATTCGAGTAGCTAACAACCCGAATCGAACGAGTACTAAGGAAAAGATATGAAGTAATAGTGGTACTGACAATTTTAGTCGTCTGCGCACCAACATTAAGCTATAACTAAGACGAAATCAATGCATTCTGTATGGACTTGGAGAAGTTTTGTAGAGAAGACCATCCATTCTTCAAGGTCATCATTGGAGATTTCAACGCTAAGATTGGACCAAGAAGAACGTTGAAGAACATTACATTAAAACTCAAGGATTAGAATGGAACGAGGAGTGCGAGCGGCCATCCGAGTTTGACATGGCGACCAAGGCCATCCATGGTAACTCGCAATTCCAGAAGCCCCATCCTCAACGCTGGATGTCGGAGTCTTCCAGTGGAGATTACCATAATAAAATATACAACATCATAGTAAATAAAAGGTTTTGCCTAACCGATGTTTCTGTTGTCCCAAAATTCTACACGAGATCAAACCACCGCCTGCTTCGTGTAAGATTCCATTTCTCGCAGAAAGGAGAGAAAGCCCCTAAATTCAAAAAACGAAGTCCCAAGACCATCATAAATTGGGACTTACTCAACTCTTTAGTCGACTGTTGGGAAGATGCCGTTGTCGATAACACCGACGAAAAATACGATCGGCTCATTCAACATCTTCACGTTAGCACTTCCAAAGCTGAGAGTTCGAAAGTCACCAAGAGACATTTGTCTCCAGAAACTCTCGAGGTGATGCGCCAACGTGGAATCGCAAGAACTGCAGACAAGCACGAATTAACGTCACAACTTGTGAAAAACAGTGCAGACAAGCGATAAAAGAAGATCTTAAAAAGGGAAGAGCAGCAGTAATGGTCGAAGCTCCAGACGCTGGGAAAAGCATTCGAAAAGCCCGCCGATGCTTCGCCAATTACAAGGAGAAGACGATTGCACCCCGATACCCGGACGGAACAGTTACAGCTTCCAGAAAGAGAGCGTAGAAATTCATTCACGATTATTACTCGGATCTCTTCAATAGCCACGTCCTTTTCTGACTTTGGTAAAACCTGTGGAAAGCTTTTCTTCAACTAAATCTCACAAAAACGATGGTCATGAGGAACAGTTTGGTTTCGTATGCTCCATTCACGATCAAGGGAACGGATAGTCTCTGAATGCTTCAGTTATGTCTATCTAAGTCGGGAAATATATTGAACGACTTAGCTCCAGAGTTGAGCAGAAGGAAACGATCGGCTTGGGGAGCTTCAAGAGCATTGAGGACATAATCAAGAGAACAAAGAACACCCGACTTTGTGCCCACCTTTTCGTCTCAACGGTACTTCCTGCTCTAACGTATGCGTCAGAAACCTGGTCGCTGCATAAGCAGAATGAAAGATCACTCGGCGTTATTGAACGCGCAGTCGAAAGGACGATGCTAGGTGTATCCGGTCTCACGCAAGTAAGGGAAGGGATCCGAAGCTCCGACCTGCGTCAACGATCAAAAATCAAAGATGCCGTTTTGTACGCCAAACAGTCGATGCAAAGGTGGGTCAGACAAGTAATACGTATGAATGAAAACCGATGGACAAGAGCCGTTACTGACTGGATTTCTCGGGATGTTAAAAGCACTGCTAGAAGACCACCGACTCGATGGTCAGAATTCTACACAAAAAGCCTTGAAGAAAGATATGGTGCTCGACGAATCCCTAGAGCAAGCAGAACCCACTGGGTTACACTTGCACGAGACAGGGAAAAATGGAAGATTTACTGGTGCCCACTGGGGTCACTCGACGATGAACGGGACTGCAGGTGACAGGTTAGCCGTCTAATTTGTTCAGTTATTCATATTACTCATGGAGACCTATTAAACAAATAAACTCTATTTTGTTTGAAAGGGCTCATCGTCTTGTAAGGTGTGGAGACACACGTATGTTGTTCTCGAGGTTTGAGGAGTGAAACCTGTCCAAATCAAAAAAAATTAATTTTAGGAAAGGCACTGGTTACGCATGTAGATATCCATAAGTTTTTCCAGTTTTTTTTGGGTTTTTCAATTCATTCAAGATGCTTCGAGAGTCGTCTGTGCTGACTTTTTTGATTCCTGGACTAAGATCCTGACAGTCACTACAAAGTCGTCACCATTGTGCTTTTGTGAACTATCAGTGCCTAGGGAAGTGCTTCTAGAATGAGCTTCCCATATAGATATCTTTTTACGCCAGCATAAAGTAATCTATTCGCCATCAAATTCACCGAATTATATGGATAAGGTTACATAAATTATGTCTAGGCTCTGAAGAAGGCTAAGTCGCAAGAATGTCAGCCACCGAATCACGGCGGCAACAGCAAATAGCAACGTTACACCAGCAAAACAAAGGCAGTTTGTAAGAATTACACAATATTTTGTTGTTTGTCTACTACTCTTACTTGAATATCCCGAATTATCTGCCTCCACAAAAAATCCCAATCTCAGGACAGCAATTCATTTGACAGGATTTTTTTTGTTTGCCAAGATTTAGTTTCCTTCGTGTCTGGAAAGCTGTGCTACAACCTACTCGGGGTCTCTCCTTCGCTTGCCAATCAGTGACTGTTTTGTTTCTAAGATAATAGTGATTCCTGGCACCGATTTGCACCCATCTGGACTTTTTGACGAAAGTCTTAAAGTTTTAATGCTGAAGAATCTTTCTGAGAATGAACCTTTGCAGTACATTGCATTCCATACTCAGGACCCATTTTCCATCACGATCAATCGGTAAGCCACTGAATGGATGGAATGAAATCCAATGTCTTATCTAAAATAGTAATGAAACCTAAAGGTATTACGAGCTGTCGAGGCTCACTACTTATCGACATGAGATTCCAAGAGTTGGCGCTCCTTATATATCGAACTTGGATGGCAGCAGTCAAAAAGAAATCTGAAAATTACATGGCTTAACTAGCAAGAGTTCCAACTCTGCGCGAAAACGAGAATATCGTATATCTTAACTCTAACTATCTAACCAGTATTTCAGTGTCAACATCGCTGCTCAATATGTTTTCATTGAGTCGTTTCGCTGGACGCATTCAGTTTGTCAGTATGATCGCCAAGCTGACTGCTGTGGTAGCTATTATTGTGATCGGATTGTTCTATATGATATTAAGAGGTTTTCCTTCACAGTATATCTTTTCCTTTTTTCTAACTTTTGTTATTTTAAAATTATCACTGGCCGGTGCAAAAATAATCGCGCTTTCTTCATTGTTGGATTTCGTTGTTTGATATTGACATAGATTCAAAATTAAACTGGCGTTTGTAATTAGTACCTAGAAGCTATAGTACACTTAGTTTCGGTTGAACATCACGGACAGTCATTGTTTTAATGTCAAAGCACGAGCTAAATAGAATTCCTATCCCTTCATAACTGGTTCCGCCACGCCAAGATTGTCCAGTAGGACGAAACATCAGGTTGATTCATTGCCAACCAAAGTTACTTCATAAACCAAGTATGATTTGGAAGTTAGAACAACTCTAGATTTCTATTCTTTTCTCCTTCATATCTTTTACTAAGGAATTATTACTTGTCCTTTATTTTATATGTATGTACCTTAGACCTGAAGTAATGTAAGACAAAAATAGAACTAAAGAGGTTTTCTCTTTCGAATTCAGAACGGGTCGTGAATTAGCAGCGATGTCTCGCTTCATCAACAATGCATTTGTCCCAGGAATTTCTAGCAAACATATTATTCAGTGATTGTTGAGCAAATTTCGCTGAGAAAAATAGGGATTTGAAGCTTTGGAGATGAGAAGAGTATTCGACATCAATTAGCACTTGACAGTGATAAAATAAGCTTAACCATTGAAGCTAGCTCTCTTAGAGCTGCAAGAAAGACTTCCAAAAACTCAACACAAAGTCGCTGTTTTCTTGATGAAAATACTAGAATTTGTCATTATACTAGTTGTGCACACTAACTAAGGTTTCAGTGGATTTAATTCTTCTTCAGAGCTTGGGAAGGTTAACTGGACCAAAACCTACTCAGGCAAATACCTCACTAACCTAAATAGAAAAAGTCACAGTACCTCGATTTCAATCACCTTAGAAACAAAGCCGCTTTTTCACGCATTCACCGCTCACTATGAGCTTTCCATAAACTGTGCCACAGGCCAACACTAAGTGGAAGAGCCATAGCGATAACTTTGTGAACAAGCTGTTTTATTTTCAATGCGATTTAAATCTAGGTAACGTCGTTTTTCCGTTGAAGTTATCGAAGTGTATGGCATACCTGATTGTTATATACTTAACGCTGTAAGCTCTGAACAAGGCTGATTCTGACGAAACGTCAACTACTGCTAATAAATAGTGTGATAACAACCTCGCGTGTTCTCATAAGAAAAACAGTGAGGTCAACCATTGAAGAGTTAACATTACATATTTATGTTTATTTCGTTATATATATTTTATATTTATGTATATTTACATTTACCTCCAGGTGACAGATGATATATATTCATGCACGTGTGGCGCAGTGGTCGGAGGCGCCCTGCAACACACACGTAGAATCGATCTCCCCCACCAAGCCTTCCATCCCTCCGGGGTCGGCAAATTGGTACCAGACTTGTCTGGGAGGATAACAACACTGGCTCGATACATCGGTAGGCCACTGCGAGTAATTCTATAGGTTAGATATGCATTCAATCTCCTCCAAACGATGCTTAATGAAGACGAATGCATAGCGCATCTCTCAGGAATTGATCAACGCCGAGAGCATAATCCTTAATCCTTAGTTCGTTTCGTCAGCACGAACTCGCCTTCTAACGGTGGTGGCAAGGATGGTGACGTTGAGGGTGAAGACGTGTGTGAATATTATTCCGTGGTGTATAAATTTTTTCAACTTAGTAGCATATTTACACAAACTCATCATACTCGTGAATTTGTCAAAATTCCCACTTTCAATGACCAGATATTTTCGTCAATAACTCTTTTAAATGGTAAATGAATAGAAAGCGTGTGTAAGCATGCTTGTTCTGCACAGCAATCAGTAAAAACAGGAAGTATCCGGTGCGGGTACACAACGATGGATGTCTCAGACGACATATTGTTATATGAAAAAATTCCAAATGCATATCTGATGCAGACACTACCACTGTTTAGACACCTCTTTAAACAAATCACTGATGGTGTTTCAGGACAAACGCAACATTTTAATCGAGACTTTATATTCGAAGGAAGCGAGTGGTCACCAACTCAAATTGTGCTTGCCTTGTATCAGGGAAGCTGGGCATATGGAGGCTATACAATCCTTAATTATGGTATGGAAGATATTCAGATCAAAAACTTTCAAAGGTAACTCACATATGATAAATTATATCAGCTTTGGAATTATTTCAGTCTAACCAGGTTCATTTTCACAATTGCCCTCTTGTTTAATCGTAGGCATAAGCTGAATTTCTGGAAAGGCTCCGTCGTTGCCATGAAGCGTTGTTCTCTTAGTATCACATGTTCATTCTCAGCGCTTTACAACAGTCTAGTGGCAATTTCGTCTTTTTCTCGAAGCGTCAACATAAGATGACTCGAGCATTTTTGTCCTCTTCCGTGAACCCTCTGTAATCATGTAGGCTATTCGCACTTTCTATCTTCAAGGGCAGTTGAAGCATTTTAAATACATGTCTCACTGGTTGTAAACTGTGTGTAAACAAACAGTTCGCTTCTTATAGGCGTCGATGTTTTAGATTCAGCCGGGGACGTGATCTCCACATGAGCTGCAGAAATTTGCCTGTATTCGATCGCTCTAGCTAATTACTATTTTATAAGAATGGTGTTGTCGATAACACCGGTTTAGGTTGCGTGATGGCCCTCGACTTTCACTGCATTCGCACCATCTACAGGAGTTTATTGCTCAGTAGTTTTAGCGCTACACTGTTACATTCTCATTCATCTTTCGTTGCAATGGCAATATTGCTGTGAAATAGCAAGATTGCAGAATTTACTTAACCAAAGAATTCAATAAAGCGCGAACGCGATGTAGTCTTTCGATGTTACCTCTCTCTACACAAACATTTCGAATGACTCCGCAATCTAGGCCATTCTTGGAGTTCTCATGTAACACCAAATTGCGATAAACATGTGAATTTAGCTGCCCATGGTTGTCGTTAAGGAGATGCTTGAACTACTTAATTTGAAAATGGTCCGTAAAATACTGCGCACAAATAAGAGGGTTGGCAACGAGACAGCGAATGAAACCTAACGTTGACGTTAATATCTACAATAGACGCTTCTGTACTCGGCCTCTCGCCATTGCTCTACTTAACACATAGCGATGATTGAATTCTTTATCTGCTCTGTATAAAAGGAAATGGATAAACGTTATGCGTTGCTAGAAGAACAGTCAGAGTATCTGTAATTAACTGGAGGAAAACTGACCTTTTCTGAGCGCTCAAATTAACCTATCCGGGAACGGTTGCAGCAGCAAGTGGTCCCGAAAGACAGCAAAAATATGCTGGCTCATTACCTTTCCTCAGACTCCTCATACACAAAAGTGTAGAAAGCATGTATCGAATAGCCAGTGTGCACATTGAAGGAGATTAGAAGAAAGAATCTTTGAAGCTAGCACGGCAAACACCCATTTCTAATGCATACGAATCAGCACCTTCTCGTGATGGTTTAGACGAAGAAACATGCCTCCATGCCGTAATTCTAGGAGTCCTATTTATACCGCTTTTTGTTTTCAACGAATTAATTGTAACTATAAGGCATTGCTTAAAGAGGCCTGGTTTAGAAAATTCCTCACCAATCATTGAAATAGCACCGACCACTATACGACGCCAGTTAGTCCGTAATCACCAGCATTAACGTTTATGTACAAAGCAAAATCGCTTAATGTGCCCTAGCGGTGGTGACAGCAGGAGTTTAGTGACTGCTTATCTTTTTCTTGTAAAGCGTACGAGGCAAATATGTTGGCGCCTCTAACCACTGCGCCACACACGCACGGCATTTTGGATACGACCCAGAAATTCGATGAAGAACTCTAAGGAGGATGCCTGGTTGTCACGCGTGACTTCACACAATATCTAAAAGTAATCTTTATACGACAGACACACATTACCCATCAATGAAAATTCTGTATGTGGAGACGGTTCAAACAATCAGAGGAAGAACGGTGAAAGAAAAAGATTTCTGCTGGTTTGCTGAATGCACTTGGCTAAGCAGATTGTTATCGATTTGACCCTTCCAAGTTTAGAAAAGGAGAAATACTAGCCACTATGGAATAAATGTTGTAAATAACAACCTCATATCAGCTTTTCAAAAACCTCTAATCTCTAGGAAGTAGATCACAGGGTTGAAATGGTCACATCCTGCATACAAGCCAAGCAGTTGTAGCTTCCAGAAAGTTAATAGAGAAAACCACGCACGATTACTGCGGTTTCCTCTTCAATAGCTATGTCGTATTGCCTTCATTTGCAGTTAAGAAGAAAAGATATGGCGTTTCATCTGTTCATTCTTCCAAAATCCGACCTTCTATTTGGTCGATAATGAACCAAACGGTACCTGGCCTGAACAAAATAAGAACCGAATGCTTTAAAAATCGTCTCTAAGCCCTCTGATGGGTCTTCCATACGTTTTTTGCGAGAATGTAAAGTTCTATGGAAAATGAGTGAGTTCGTTTTGCTGCACGAAAAGAGAACGCCTACAACATTGCAACGTCTGCCAATATACTTATTGTTTATATTCTATAAACTTTTCCCTTTAGCCATACCCACAGGATTGATAAAACACTGGGCGAAGGACAGCAATGAAACCAAACAAGGCTCTGAAAAGGATTTAGTACGATAGACCACAGCGGCATGAAAAGGAACGTCTTAGAAGTATCGCAAGAGCACAGGAGAACTCTCTGTCTCACTTTCATCCATCCAACGATGCTCACAACTCAGCTGAGGTGGAAGCCCTTACGGAATCTATACACAGTCGGGCTGTCCCTACTAGACTTTACTGGGGCTATACAACCATTTTACCATCGAAATATTACCGGTCTATTTCGGTCTTAACATTAGCGTACAAAGTGGGTTTCGAAAAGACGTTGCGATCTCACCAAAATTATTTACATCTACTCTCGAGTATGTCATGTAAAGATTGGTATTGGACAACATCTAAGTGAAATTCGATATTTGGCAGCACTATCTTCGTTTTCTTTAGGTAATATCTCCATTGAGGCATCGAAAATTCCCCAAAATAAACTAATGTTTAACCACTTCTGGGACGCCTATGGAAGACTCATTCTTCGACTTTATTTCACCAAAACGATGTTCAGGAGGAAAAAACTTGTTTCCAAATCCGTATCTGTGCTTAACGGAACGAATATCTCCGTCTGCCCCAACTATTTATATCAAGATTGGGAAAGCACTGTCACAAAAGACAGCTATAAGTTTGAGCAGGAGGATACCAGCGGCTTTGGAAGCCTTCTAAACCATCTAGGATGTAGAGAGGAGAATAATGAACACCCGTCTACATACCTACCTTTTCTGCTCCGCGATTCTTCTCGCTTTAGCCTACGCTTTGGAAACGTGGTAGACAAAATGAAATTTTCAGCGCTATTGAACGGATAGTTGAAAGGGCGATGCTAGGAGTACCTCGTTTCACACAAGTGAGAGAGGGAATTCAAATTTCCGGAAACAGGAATACCACCGATTCCATTGTTATAGTTCTTCAGGAAGACACTAAACAAAAGGTATTATGCTCTTCGAGTTAATAGAGCGAACAGAACTCACTATAATACTACTACATGCGATGTGGACAAATGAAAAATTTANGGGCGATGCTAGGAGTACCTCGTTTCACACAAGTGAGAGAGGGAATTCAAATTTCCGGAAACAGGAATACTACCGATTCCATTGTTATAGTTCTTCAGGAAGACACTAAACAAAAGGTATTACGCTCTTCGAGTTAATAGAGCGAACAGAACTCACTATAATACTACTACATGCGATGTGGACAAATGAAAAATTTACAATGGCCTGAGTAATTCGTCCATCAATGGGACAAGAGTTTAAGCAGGTGATACTTCAACCTTTACGTGCTATTCATAGGTCTCTTGTCGACGGCTTGAAAATCCTCCGTGGCAAAGTAAAATGGAACAAAAAGGTATAGGTCATTCTTTTATTAAACCTTTTCCATAGGACAGTACCACGCGCCGTTCTTTTCGGTCTATTTGCCAGTGCATTTGTCTACGTGATGGCCAATGTAGCGTATTTTACCGTGCTCACTCCTCAGCAGATATTGGAGTCTCCTGCTGTCGCAACGGTAACATTCCTTGCGATTTAAAATAGCAATAAGAAGGTAAAGGCTTCGATTTTTTGTCTGAAGAACTAATTCTTTGCAGACATTCGCTCAAAAGACGGTGGGTCCGATATCGTACGCAATGCCAGCCTTGATCGCTCTTCTCATGGTGGGAAGTGTTAATGCAGAAATATTCGCATGGAGCAGGTTAGTTGCAAGTTCATAGTGCTACGCACTTTCGAAAATAGTGTTTTCACTATTGCTTCCATTTCTATTGTTTCGCCACTCAATAGCTTTTTTCATGAGCAAAAGCTCTATCTCAACTATTTTTTTAACAATGCGCCTGGACTTTTCACTTCCGAAGTAAAAAAAAACTATCAAGACTGAAGACTGGAACGATTATTTGTCGGCTGTTTAAGGTTCATGTCAGCTGGTTCTCGTCAAAGAATGATGCCCTCCGCATTATCGTTGGTCCATCNAATGCAGAAATATTCGCATGGAGCAGGTTAGTTGCAAGTTCATAGTGCTACGCACTTTCGAAAATAGTGTTTTCACTATTGCTTCCTTTTTCTATTGTTTCGCCACTCACTAGCTTTTTTCATGAGCAAAAGCTCTATCTCAACTATTTTTTTAACAATGCGCCTGGACTTTTCACTTCCGAAGTAAAAAAGTAAAAAAAAAATCAAGACTGAAGACTGGAACGATTATTTGTTGGCTGTTTAAGGTTCATGTCAGCTGGTTCTCGTCAAAGAATGATGCCCTCCGCATTATCGTTGGTCCATCCTGAAAACGACAGCCCAAGAGTCGCAGTTTTCACCCATGTACTCCTCTGCATGGATTCGTTCATTTTGACCTCCGTCATGTCATGTCATGACCTCTTCTTTCATTTCGTCACATGAATTAGCCTGCATTTCAGACCATACTCGCTATGGCGTTCTGTTTAATCGGTGACATTTACCGGCTGGTTAACTATTTGACGGTGACGGCTTTAGCGGCTACAACGTTTTCGGTTGGTGCGCTTGTCTTCATAAAGTGGAAGAAGATTCCGGTCAGCGAGGACGCTGTTAAGGTCATTTCTTCATGAAACATGTGAACCACTTGATATCTCTGCTTAAACTTTTCAATACAGCTATGTTTAAAAGCCACTCTAACTATTTTAAGGCTTCAATCATGCTGGGATATTTGCAAAACTCCTGACCGCAGGGGCCTGCGGTGGCGAACGAACGCGTTATTGTCCTTTCCGGGGAGTGACGCGTTCGCCACCACACGATTCGGGTCTTCGTTTTGGCTGTCTCTCAGATATTTCTATCGATCTCTGCCATCAGTAATCACCCGTTAGCGGTATCGGCAATATACCCTACCATTAAAAAGAATAGGCAGTAAATAATAAGACGAAGACGTCGAAACGTTAGCCGAAAATAAACCTCATTATCAACCTCGTGTAAGCTCATCAAAGAAAGAATACATATTGATTAGTGATACCGAAGTTCAAGGAAAGCCGGTATCGAAATATTACTACGCTTTGTGCTAGCTGATAATAACACCGACTTCTGCACGATGTGCGCGATGATTATGTCCGGAAG